TTGTTTGTTTGTTTGTTTGTTTTTTTGAGACAGAGTCTTGCTCTGTTGCCCAGGCTGGAGTGCAGTGGCCGGATCTCAGCTCACTGCAAGCTCTGCCTCCCGGGTTCACGCCATTCTCCTGCTTCAGCCTCCTGAGTAGCTAGAACTATAGGCACCCGCCACCTCGCCCGGCTAGTTTTTTTGTATTTTTAGTAGAGACGGGGTTTCACCGTGTTAGCCAGGATGGTCTCAATCTCCTGACCTCGTGATCTGCCCGTCTCAGCCTCCCAAAGTGCTGGGATTATAGGCTTGAGCCACCGCACCCGGCCTTTTTTTTTTTTTTTTTTTTTTTTTGTCTATTGTCCAGTTTGGCGTTTATTGTCCTGTTAGTGTTTGTCAAAGTTTCGTAGGTCAGGTAGTGGACACTGCCTAAGGCGTCTGGGCAAGGACTTCTTGAAGGTCCTCAGTGCTGATTTTCTATCACAGGAAGTTAAATTTATCATCAGTCTTTTGGGATGGCCATCCCAGTCCTGCGTTTTCTGTCAGAAACAAATCAGGTGTTATGGGAATGAGTGTGGGAAACTTTCACCCGCTTAGGTTTCCTGGAACCATAAAAGTTGCTGGCATTTAGATTGTCAAACCCCAGGTCCAAGTGACTGGACCACCTACTTCGACATTAGACCAGTGGTGGATTCAAAATAGCCACCCTGCAGACCTCGTTGCTCACCTCTTCTGTCATCCTGTAACTTTTACCGTGCCCTTAAATAGGGCACCGTGCAGAGAAACCTATGCCCGTACTGCTTTACTCCATCTGGACTCTTATTTATTTATTTATTTATTTTGGAGGCGGAGTCTGACTCTGTCACCCAGGCTGGAGTGCAGTGGCCGGATCTCAGCTCACCGCAAGCTCCGCCTCCCGGGTTTACACCATTCTCCTGCCTCAGCCTCCCAAGTAGCTGGGACTACAGGCGCCCGCCACCTCGCCCGGCTAGATTTTTTGTATTTTTCAGTAGAGACAGGGTTTCACCGGGTTAGCCAGGATGGTCTCGATCTCCTGACCTCGTGATCCACCCGTCTCGGCCTCCCAAAGTGCTGGGATTACAGGCTTGAGCCACCGCGCCCAGCCTGGACTCTTATTCTATTCCCCTGTGGCTACTCTCCTACCTTAGGAAAGATCCAAGTGATCCCTTTCCTCCTCATCCCCACCCTTTACCCCGTATGTCTCGTTTTCCTGTGTCGCAGCAAGTACAGCATCTCCAAGACTTGGCTCTCCTCTCCCTCCTCAAACCTTTAAAACAAAAGGCCGAGTTTGAACTATTTGCCTTTGAGTGGTAGAGACACCAAAGATATTTAGGCTATAAGTCAAAAGGCAGAGGGAAATCACATAGGTCCCATTGGCCTCGGACCTGCCTCTTTGTCCTCTCCCTAAACCTCAAAGCTTAAAATGACAGAACTCATGTGGTAGGAAGCACTGGCTATAGCTGTTCTCCTGCTTCTTTCGGCCATACTATTTCTGTTCTTCCAGTACTACAGCCCCCCAGGTCATGAATTTCTCTGTCCGTGCTGGGTTTAATATCTCTGCTCAAACCTTGTTCAACTGCCTCCAGAATGTGAAACTCTTCTTCCCGGACTTACAAAGATCGGAGCCCCCTCCAATGTATGTTACAAAATTTCCCTCTAGGCTTCTTAGAGGATTATGGGGTCTGCCTTAAAACAGGAAAACTCTGAACACTCTGCGAAGTAGAATAGCCAACGTTTAGAGCCGGGTGGCCCCCAGAAGGGTCACTGAACCTCGCAATTATTCAGGCTGTGTGGCGGGTTGTTGCTGGAACTCCCGGTCACCCCAATCAGTTTCCATATATTGATCAGTGGCCAAGTTGGTCAGGAACCCTCCTCCCTGGCTCTGCTCATGCGCCATTCATAATTGTACCTCCAAAGTCCTTTTGAGCCAGACCTCACTTGTGCCTCGACCCTCAGCCGGCTCGGCTCCTCCTGTACTGCCTCCTTCTGAAGAAGAGGAGAGTCTCGCTCACCCAGTTCCACTGCCTTATAATCCTCCTGCTCCCTTAGAATCTTCTCTTGTCTTCTCAACTACGTCCCCTGTGGGCTCTCCGCCTACTGCATCTGAGGCAGGAGGAGGTAGCCCCCTCCAGCACTGAGAGAGGCACAGTTCCCTCCGGGTGGTGAGCGCTCAGCCCCATTCTTGGTTTATGTCCCCTTTTCTACTTCTGACTGGAAAGCTCATAATCCCCTCTTTTCTGAAAAGCCCCAGGTCTTGACCTCACTGATGGAGTCTGTGCTCCGGACCCATCGGCCCACCTGGGATGACTGTCAACAGCTCCTTTTAACCCTTTTCACCTCTGAAGAGAGGGAATGTATCTGAAGGGAGGCCAGAAAGCATTTACTCACATCAGCCGATGGGCTGGAAGAGCAAGCCAGAGACCTTGAGGAGGTTTTTCCCTCTACCCGGCCTAATTGGGACCCAAACTCCTCGGGTGGGAAGAGAGTTTTAAACAATTTTCCACCAGTATCTCCTTGAGAGTATCAAGGGAGCCGCTCAGAAACCCATAAACTTGTCTAAGACGACTGCAGTTGTCCAGGGACCTGATGAGTCACTGGGAGCGTTTTTAGAACGCCTCCAGGAGGCCTATCGGACTCACACCCCTTTTGACCCTGCAGCTCCCAAAAATAGCCATGCTCTTAATTTGGCATTTGTGGCTCAGGCAGCCCTTGATATTAAAAGAAAGCTACAAACACTGGAAAGATTTGCTAGGATGAATATCAGTCAACTTTTAGAAATAGCCCAGAAAGTTTTTGACGATCGAGAGTTTGAGAAGCAAAAACAGGCAGCTCGGGCAGCTGAAAAGGCCACTGATAAACATCCAAAAGACAAGCGAAAATCTTAGTGGCGGCCATCCAGGAAGCCAAGAAGGGAAGACCCCCATCACAGAGGAATGGCCAGGGAACCCCGGGTCCCCACCAAAAAGGCAAGAAAGGTGAACGGGCTCCCCTGGAGAAAAACCAATGTGCTTATTGCAGACTGGGCACTGGAAAAAGGAATGCCCATTACAGCCAAAGGAAAAATCAGCAAAGAAAAAAGTCCTCACCCTCCCTGCAACGGAGGAGTCTAATGACTGACGGGACCAGGGCTCCCTCTCTCTTGGCCCCTGGAAGTCCATGGTGACCACTACAGTGGGGAGCCAGCCCGTACGCTTCCTAGTAGATACCGGAGCAGAGCACTCGGTACTGCAGACACCCTTAGGCAGTGTCTCTAATAAAAGAGTGACTGTACAAGGGGCTACTGGAACTATTCAGGAATATCCTGTCACACACTCATGAGAAGTGAGTTTGGGCTCACCTTACACTGGGAAGCACAGCGCCCCCCACTGCTCAACTTCTGCTAACTACCCCTCTGTCGGAGGAACGTTTTTTAGTTTCACCATCACAACCACTGGAGAATAACACTAATCCTCTCCTATTGGACTTACAGACACTCTTTCCCTGACTTTAGGCTGAGTCAAACCCCCCAGGACTGGCTAAGCACCATCTGCCAGTGGTTGTAGAACTCCTAGCCACTGCCTTGCCAGTCCAGGTAAAGCAATATCCTATGAATCAGCGGGCTAGGCAGGGATCGATCCCCATATTCAGTGACTGTTACCAGCCGGCATACTCACACCATGTCAGTCCACCTGGAATACTCCATTTTTGCCGATCCAGAAACCCGGAACAAATGATTACAATGATTACTGGCTGGTACAGGACTTAAGGGAGGTTAGCAAGTGAACAGTTACCATCCATCCAACTGTCCCTAACCCTTATACTCTACTCAGCCTGCTCCCACCAGAACATACAGTACACACTGTCCTTGACCTAAAGGATGCCTTCTTTGCTATTCCTCTGGCCCCCAAGAGCCAACCAATCTTTGGTTTTGAATGGACAGATCCTGGCTTGGGAGATACCACCCAACTGACCTGGACTTGTTTGCCTCAAGGGTTTAAAAATTCCCCCACCCTCTTTGGGGAAGCCCTTCAGCAGGATCCTATACCATTCCAAGCCAGTCACCCTGTCACCCTAACCGCACACTTCTTCACTACATGGATGATCTTTTTTTTTTTTTTTTTGAGACGGAGTCTCACTCTGTCGCCCAGGCTGGAGTGCAGTGGCCGGATCTGGGTTCACTGCAAGCTCCACCTCCCGGGTTCACGCCATTCTCCTGCCTCAGCCTCCCGAGTAGCTGGGACTACAGGCACCCGCCACCTCGCCCGGCTAGTTTTTTTGTATTTTTTTTGTAGAGACGAGGCTTCACCGTGTTCGCCAGGATGGTCTCGATCTCCTGACCTCGTGATCTGCCCGTCTTGGCCTCCCAAAGTGCTGGGATTACAGGCTTGAGCCACCGCGCCCGGCCATGGATGATCTTTTATTAGCTACTGAAACTACTGACAACTGCTTGCAACATACTAGGGACCTACTTTACCTCCTTCAGGAGCTTGGGTATCAGGTCTCCGCCAAGAAGGCCCAGCTTTGTCTTCCCAGAGTGTCCTACCTAGGGTACGAGGTAAACCAAGGAAAAAGGGCACTCACTAGTGCCCGGAAGGAAGCCATCCTGTGAATCCCGACTCCCGCCACCAAGAGACAGGTACGTGAGTTCCTTGGGGCCATGGGATACTGTCGCCTGTGGGTATCGGGGTTTGCGGAGATTGCCAAGCCCCTGTATAGTGCGACAGGAAGGAGTGACCTGCTAATTTAGGCTGACACAGAAGAACAGGCTTTCCAAAACCTGAAAAAGGCATTAGCTGAAGCCCCTGCTGTAGTCCTCCCAAATATGTCAAAGCCATTCCACCTTTTTGCCCATGAAAACCAGGGAGTTGCTAAAGGGATACACTCATTCAGACCTTGGGGCCATGGCGATGCCCGGTGGCCTATTTGACCGAGAGACTAGACCCTGTGGCCTCCGGGTGCCCCAGTTGCCTGCCAGCAGTAGCAGCCACAGCAAGCCTAGTTCAGGGGGCTGATAAACTGGCTCTAGGTCAAAACTTAACCCTTACAGCTCCTCATGCCATAGAGACTTTGCTGCGAAGTGCTTCTGGCAAATGGATGTCACATGCTCCCATTTACAGTATCAGAGTTTATTATTGGATCAGCCTCCTTTAACTTTCTCTCCCACAAGGTATTTAGATCCAGCACCTTTACTCCCAGATCCAGACTTCACCACACCTGTCCATGACTGCCAGGAACTGTTAGAGACCACCGAAACTGCCGACCTGGATCTCCAAGATGTGCCTTTAAAGGAAGCGGATACCACCATGTTTACAGACGGTAGCAGCTTCCTTGAGCAGGGAGTTTGAAAGCCTGGTGCGGCCATCACTATGGAGATGGATATTCTATGGGCCCAAGCTCTACCAGCTGGCACCCCAGCTCCGAGAGCTGAGCTGGTTGCCCTCACACAGGCTCTCCGATGGGGCAAGGACACACGTACTAACATTTACACTGACAGTAGGTATGCCTTCGCTACTGTGCATGTACACGGAGCCATCTATCAAGAGCGTGGGCTACTCACCTCAGCAGGAAAGACTACCAAAAACAAAGAAGAAATTCTAGCCCTGCTTGAAGCCAGATGGCTCCCTCTGCAGGTGGTTGTAATTCACTGCAAAGGACACGTTGCCCGTGGTAACCAGAGGGCCGACTCTGCAGCCCAGGAGGCAGCATGGCTTCCAGTCGCGCCTCTAACCTTACTGCCTGCAGTGTCCTTTCCACAGCCAGACTTGCCAGATCATCCGGTATACTCAGCAGAGGAAGTAAAACTGGCTTCGAATCTCCAGGTCAGTAAAAATCAGGAAGGTTGGTGGATTCTTCCTGACTCCTGAATCTTCATACCCTGAGCTCTCAGGGAAACTTTAATTGGTTGCCTACATTCTGCCACCCATTTAGGAGGAGCAAAAGTGACCCAGCTCCTAAGGGGACGTTTCAAGATCCCCCACCTTCAGAACTTAGCGAACCAAGCAGCTCTCTGGTGTACGGCTTGTGCTCAGGTAAACGCCAAGCAAGGTCCTAAATCCAGCTCAAGCCACCGCCTCCGAGGAGAAAGGTGGGAAATTGACTTTACAGAAATAAAACCACACCGGGCTAGGTACAAATACGTTCTGGTACTAGTAGACACTTTTTCTGGATAGACTGAGGCATTTACCACCAAAAATGAGACTGCCACCATGGTAGTTAAGTTTTTACTCAATGAAATCATCCTTTGACATAGGCTGCCTGCTGCCATAGGGTCTGATAATGGACCAGCCTTCACGTCATCCATAGCTCAGTCAGTCAGTAAGGCATTAAACATTCAATGGAAGCTCCATTGTGCCTATCAACCCCAGGGCTCTAGGCAGGTAGAAAGCATGAACCGCACCCTAAAAAGTACTCTTACAAAATTGATCTTAGAGACCAGTGAGAATTGGGTAAGACTCCTTTCTTCAGCCCTTCTTAGAGTAAGATGCACTCCTTACCGGGCTAGGTTTTCACCTTTTGAAATCATGTAAGGGATGGCGCCGCCTACCTTGTCTAAGCTAAGGGATACCCATTTAGCAGAAATATCACAAGCTAATTTATTACAGTACCTGCAGTCTCTCCAACAAGTAATAGATATCATCCAGCCACGTATCCGGGGAGCTCATCCCAATCCAGTTCCTGACTAGAAAGGGCCCTGCCACTAATTCCAGCTAGGTGGCCTGGTGTTTGTTAAAAAGTTCCAGAAAGAAGGACTCACTCCTGCTTGGAAAGGACCTCATACTGTCATCCTCACCACGCCGACGGCTCTGAAGTCGGACAGCATTCCTGCTTAGATTCATCACTCCCGCATCAAAAGGCCAACAAAGCCTAGCAGGAAACACAGGTCCCCAAGGCTGGGCCAGGTCCCTTAAAACTGCACCTAAGTCAAGTGAAGCCATTAGATTAATCTTTTTATTTACCTCTCTTGTTTGTTTCCACCTGTTATGCCCTTTGTGCCTTCCTATTTCTTTCTCCTCACTTCTTTCACGACAGGACGTGTGCTTGCAAGCACTATTTGGAAGACAGGAACCTCCAAGGAAGTCTCTTTTGCAGTCAATTTGTGTGCTTTGTTCCCAGAACCTGCCCATACCGAAGAGGAACAACACATGCCGGTCATGGGAGCAGGGAACATCGACCTTGCTGCAGGATTTAGACACTCCGGGAGCCAGACTGTATGTGGGAGCTCCAAAGGTGCAGAAAAAGGACTCCAAAATGTTGACTTTTACTATGTCCTGGAAATCACCCTGACTCTAGTTGTCGAGATACTTGCCAGTTTTTCTGCCCTGACTGGCCATGTGTAACTTTAGCCACTTGCTCTGGGGGATCAACCTGATCTTCGACTCTTTCCATAGCTCGTGCTTCCTGTCCTAGACTGTGTACTGGAAAAAAACGTAATCCTCTTAACTATAACCGTCATAACCCTAATTTAGCTCAATGGTATTATGGCATGTCATGAGGATTAAGGCTTTATATCCCAGGATTTGATGTTGGAACTATATTCACCATCCAGAAGAAAATCTTGGTCTCATGGAGCCCTCCTAAGCCAATTAGACCTTTAACTGATCTAGGCGACCCTTTGTTGCAAAAACACCCAGACAAGGTCGATTTAACTGTTCCACCGCCATTCCTAGTTCCTAAACCCCAGCTACAACGACGACATCTCCAACCCAGCCTGATGTCCATTCTAGGCGGGGTACGTCACCTCCTTAATCTTGCCCAGCCTAAACTAGCTCAAGATTGTTGGCTATGTTTAAAGGCCAAGCCCCCTTATTATGTGGGATTAGGAGTAGAAGCCATGCTTAAAAGTGACCCTGTTTCTTGTCGTGCACGACCCCGTATCCTCACACTAGGAGATGTGTCTGGGAATGCTTCTTGTCTAATTAGCACCTGATATAACTTACCTGCTTCTCCCTTTCAGGCTACTTGTAACCAGTCCCTGCTTACTTCCTTAAGCACCTCAGTCTCCTACCAGGCACCTAACAATACCTGTCTAGCCTGCACTTCAGGTCTCACTCGCTGCATCAATAGGACTGAACCAGGACCTCTCCTGTGCCTGTTAGTTCACGTGCTTCCCCAGGTATATGTGTACAGTAGGCCAGAAGGACAACTTCTCATCGCTTCCCCTGAATTACATCCCAGATTTCGCTGAGCCACCCCACTCCTTGTACCCCTCCTGGCTGGCCTTAACGTAGCCAGATCAGCCATCCTTTCTGAGCAGCCACCCATAGGTAGAAGAAGCCTGTGGATAGGCTCTTGCTGTTTGCTACCTCCCCCACTGGTAACCTGTCAAAGCACATCCCAAATAAAGCTTGTGTGCTACTGCTGCCTTGTGGTCACATCTTTTTCCTCACTCAGCCAAGAAATCACTTGAACACCCTAAATGCGTGTATGGTTTTATTCTTTACATTTAGATCCCTACTCTGTTTGGAGTTTATTCTTGTATATGCTGTGAAGTATGGATTTAATTTCATCTTTTCTCAGATGGCTAACCAGCTATCTTAGACCTTCCAATACAAATGGCATTTTTTGCCTGATTTATCTGAAATGCCACTTTATTTATTTTTTTTTTCCAGACGGAGTTTCACTCTTGTTGCCCTGGCTGGAGTGCAATGGCAAGCTCTCTGCTCACTGCAACCTCTGCCTCCTGCGTTCAAGCTATTCTCCTGCCTCAGCCTCCCGAGTACCTGGGATTATTGGCATGTGCCACCATGCCCAGATAATTTTGTATGTTTAGTAGAGATGGGGTTTCTCCATGTTGGTCAGGCTGGTCTCTAGCTCATGACCTCAGGTGATCCACCTGCCTCTGCCTCCAAAAGTGCTGGAATTGTAGGTGTCAGCCAACACACCTGGCCTTTTTTTTTTTTTTTTTTTTTTTTTTTTTTTTGAGATGGAGTCTCGCTCTGTCGCCCAGCTGGAGTGCAGTGGTGCAATCTAGGCTCACTACAACCTCTGCCTCCCAGGTTTGAGCGATTCTCTTGCCTCAGCCTCTCGAGTAGCTGGGCTTACAGGCACACACCACAACGCTTGGCTAAATTTTTTTTTTTTTTTTTTAGACGGATACTCAACTCTATTGTCAGGCTGGAGTGCAGGGGAGCAGTCTCCTGCAACCTCCCCCTCCCGGGCTCAAGCGATTCTCTTGCCTCAGCCTCCTGAGTAACTGGGATTACAAGTGCCCACCACCATGCCCAGCTAATTTTTGTATTTTTAGTAGAGACGGGGTTTCACCAAGTTAGCTAGGATGGTCTCGATGTCTTGACCGTGATCCACCTGCGTCAGCCTCCTAAAGTGCTGGGATTACAGGCGTGAGCCACCACGCCCGGCCACGCTTGGCTAAATTTTTTTGTATTTTAAATAGAGATGGCGTTTCACCATGTTGGGCAGGCTGGATTTGAACTCCTGACCTCAAGTGATCCTCCTGCCCTGGTCCCCCAAACTGCTAGGATTACAAGCATGAGCCACCGCGCCTGGCAAAATACATTTATGAACCAAATTTCTACATGTTCTTGGGTCTGTTTTTAGATATTTTATTAGTCTGTTTCTGCTTCATGTGCTAGTACCACATAGTTTTAATTATAGAGGCTTCATAGTATGTTTTAATTAATTAATTAATTTTTTAATTTTTTAGACGGAGTCTCACTCTGTCAGCCAGGCTGGAGTTCAGTGGCACAATCTCGGCTCACTGCAACCTTCGTCTCCCAGGCTCAAGCAACTCTTCTGCCTCAGCCTCCCAAGTAGCTGGGATTACAAGCATGTGCCACCACGTCTGGCTAATTTTTGTACTTCTAGTAGAGATGGGGTTTCACCATATTAGCCAGGCTGGTCTTGAACTCCTGACCTCAGGTAATTTGCCCACCTTGGCCTCCCAAATTGCTGGGATTACAGGCGTGAGCCACCGTGGCTGGCCTTTATTTTTATTTTAAAATAATTTAATTATTTGCCTTGCATGAAAACTGTAAATAGTATGTTTTATCTGCTGCTCATCATTGCTTTTGTTTTTGTTTTCTTGGTTATTATTAGATGTTTGTTCCTCCACATAAACTTTAGTATCAATGTACTTAACTCCAGAAAAAACTTTTCGTATTTTTATTGGGATTATGTTACATTTCTGAATAATCTTGGGGAGAATGTCTGGTATCAGTGCTATTTTACAACGTAGGAAATGTGATCCTGGCCCATGTGGTAAGATCAGAAAAATAACAATAGAAATACATATTTTTGGCTGGGGCAGTGGCTCACACCTGTAATTCCAGCACTTTGGGAGGATGAGGCGGGTGGATCATGAGGTCAGGAGTTTGAGACCAGCCTGGCCAATATGGTGAAACCATGTCTCTATTAAAAATGCAAAAATTAGCTGGGCGTGGTGGCGCATGACTGTAGTCCCAGCTACTCAGGAGGCTGAGGCAGAAGAATGGCTTGAACCCAGGAGGCAGAGTTTGCAGTGAGCAAAGATCGCACCACTGCACTCCAGTCTGGGCGACAGAGTGAAAATATGTCTCCAAAAAAAAAAAAGAGATAACATTTTAAAAATTTATTTTATGTATATATATAGAGAGATGGGGTTTTGCCGTGTAGCCCAGGCTTGTCTTAAACTCCTGGCCTTAAACCATCCTCCCACCGTGGCCTCCCAAAGTCCTAGGATTACAGGCATGAGCCACCATGCCCAGCCAGAAATACATAGTTGATGAAGATTAAAAAAAATCAAGAGTTATAGAAAATATTATTATATTGAAAACGTGGTTGGGCACGGTGGCTTATGCCTATAATCCCAGCACTTTGGGAGGCTGAGGTGCTCAGATGTTTTAGGTCAGGAGTTTGAGATCAGCCTGGCCAACGTGGTGAAATTGTTCTCTACTAAAAATACAAAAATTAGCTGGGCATGGTGACAGGCACCTGTGATCCCAGCTACTGCAGAGGCTGAGGCAGGAGAATCGCTTGAATCTGGGAGGCGGAAGTTGCAGTGAGCTGAGATCAAACTGTCGCAAGCAAGCAAGCAGCAAGAAAGAAAACACAATGCAATCAGCAGGTTTTAAAAAAGAAAGAATGAAGAAGTAAAGGCCTACAGAAAGCCTGACTGAATGGAAGAGATAGACCATGCCATTCACTGGCAGGTTTATCAATATGGAAGAATCATGGAAAGGCTCTAGGAACATGAGGAGAGACATACAAACAAGCTTTATATTTATATCTAAAAACTAAAGTAGAGGTTCCTCTTCAAAGACATTCCTTCCCATTTAATTAGAAATAAATAGTAACTTCTCTTAGAAGCAAAATTTATTCAAAGACCTGTGCTAACATTCTCAAATATCTGCTAGCCGTTATAAAGATATCAATGTCCTTTATGTTCTTAGCTCCCACAATTTAGTCTAAATATTTGCCCTGGCATGCCTACACTGGTCCAAACAAGCATTAGGTCATAGCCCGTTCCTTTTCCTTATTTGAAGGTGTTTTGACCCTTCTCAGCATTCCACAAGTTACTTCCTCCTTCCTTTGTTCTCCTCTACCTTTGCCTCTTTTAAAAAGTTATAAGTTGCTAGCCAATCAGGACAAATATAGAATGTGAGGTCCCGTTCCAGCCAACGGAAACCGAATACAGCAGTAGGGTGGAAGCATCAGGTTATAAACGACCCTGTCTCCTTTGTTTGGTGTACTCTCGTGGCAAAACTGCTGGTGAGTGTACCCTTTCTGTAGGAACTAAAAATGTCCTTGCTGAGTAAATTAAATTAATGTTCAAGTGCTATTTCTTCATGGCACCAAGGAACAAGCATTTCAAACATATATATGTATACACACACACCATATATATGTATGTACATATATGTACATAAATAGAGACAGGGTCTTGCTACTTTGCCCAGGCTGGTCTCAAACTCTTGGACTTGTAGAAAATGAAATAGCTGTTCCTCTTCAAAGGGACTTTCCTCCCAGTCTGAAAATAAATAGTAATCCCTCTTAGAAGCCAAATTTTCTGAAAGATCTGTGGTAATATTCTTAAATTCTACCAGCTGTAATAAAGAAATCAATATACTCTGTATTCTTAGCTCCCACATCTTAGCCTAGATATTTGCCCGGGCATGCCTGAACTGGTCCAAGCAAGCATTAGGTCATGGCCTATTCCTTTATTTAGAAGTGTTTTTGCCTCTTTCAACGGTCCACAAGTTATTTCCTCTCTTCCTTTGTTCTCCTCTGCCTTTGCCTCTTGTGGGAAGTTCTAAG